GCCCCGCCCAAGCCCCGCCCTGCCCTGCCTTCCACCAAGCCCTGGCCTGCCCCTGTGACTCGCTCCTCAGTGCCACGTACACTCAATCTCTTCTGAGCCGCTGGGCGGCTGCCCCGGGCAGGTGCTGGCCGCTGGGACCCCTGCCCCAGCTGGGCGCAGTGACCCCGCTGTGGTGTCCGCAGCCACGCCGGTGAGGTTTCGCGAGGGCCTGAAAGACGTGGAAGTGCACGCGGGCGGGGCGGCCACCCTGCGGTGCATGCTGTCCTCTGTGGCCGCCCCCGTGGAGTGGCGCCGGGGAGACCAGGTCCTGCAGCAGGGGGCCAAGTACAGCCTGCGGCAGGATGGTGCAGCGCTGGAGCTGGTGGTGCGGGACCTGCAGCCCCAAGACAGCGGGCAGTATGCCTGCCACTTCGGGGACCAGGTGACCCGGGCCACGCTCACCGTGAGGGGTGAGTGTGCCTGCTCCGGTGATGCCTGTGCCCTGGGGTGACTCCGCCCCGCCCTGTGGGGACACTGCTCAGGCCCTGCGTGGCCCTACCCACGTCCTGGGAGGCTCCGCCCACACCCTGGGAGGTCCCACGCACGCCCTGGGAGGCCCCGCCCACACCCTGGGAGGTCCCGCCCACTCCCTGGGAGGTCCCACGCATGCCCTGCGAGCTCCCGCCCACGCCCTGGGAGGTTCCTCCACATCCTGGGTGGTCCCGCCCACGTCCTGCGAGGCCCCGCCCATGCCCTTGGAGGTTCCGCCCACGCCCTGGGAGGTCCCGCCCACACCCTGGGAGGATCCGCCCACATCCTGGGTGGTCCCGCGCATGCCCTGCGAGGCCCCGCCCACGCCCTGCGAGGCCCCGCCCCACCGTGGAGACACTGCCCACGCCCGGGGTGGCTCCCCTGGTCCCTTGTCTGCCACCTGTCTGTCGGGGAGGCCCGGGCACGGCCGTGCTGCGCTGTGAGCTGAGCCTGGCCACCCTGTGGGGTGGAGGAGGGGGCCGGCCGACCTCCACTCTGGCGCAGGGCTGCAGACCCGGGACCTGGGCCTGGGGGGCACCAGGGAGCACTCTCGCGGGTGTGGGCCCCAGAGGACCTCGGCCTCGTGGCCGTCAGGGGTGAGGACGCGCGGCTGCGGCCTCCCAGCCCTGTCCTCCGTCGTGTCCGTGCCGGGCCCACGCCGGCCCCTGGTCATCTCTGTGCCGCTGCTCTTGGCCCGTCTGGGCTTGTGCCCGGGGCTCCTGTCGCCCCACGCCCTCGGCCAGCTCCTGAGAGCAGGACCCTGCCCCGCTGCTCACCCACCGCAGGTGCCCTCCAGCCCGGGGGTCCTTCTGGATAGCTCAGCGCCCTTCGGGGCCCCTCTCCCCCGAGGGACCCGGCCTGGCCGGGGTGACAGGGCTGAGGGCGGCCGGCACGACGCGCCCCCGACCCTTGCGGCACAGCTGGGCTTCAGGGGGCCCCTGCGTAGCC